CCACTCACTCAGTGTCCTGCAGCCCGCTGGGGCCGCAGGAGCAGAGCTGGGGATGACTGAGGTCAGACGTCACCTGGGCAAGCCTAGAAAGACCAGTTCCACTTTGGGCTGCAAAAAGAAGATAAAACGCAAGAATACTTCCTAAAGCAGCCTGCGCCTTTCTTTACTTTTTCGTCTCACTTGATTATACTTTCTCAGGTTTTATTCCTTCTGTCATAGTGGGTTTGGTCAGCCTTGTTTCAGCCCTCAGGATTTATTCTGACAGCTGCACCTTATCTTAAATAACTGTTTATATCACTGTTTATCATTTCAAATGCCGGTATTGAAACAGGAGCTGACAGCATGGGTCTATTCAATGCTATCTCCGTTTCTCTTTCAAGAAAGGCGTGAATTTGTGAAGGAGCTGCTCTCTGTCATCCTTATTTCGGGAAGATAAGGAATTATAAAGTGGGTGTACTCCACTTACAGTCAATAAGAGAAATCCTGCCTGACATTAGCCCTTGGACACTGTGCATTAGCGGGGGAAACTGCCTCGGGACAGCCCTCACACCTTTCAGGAGACTTGCTGTCTCCCGGGCCGGGCAGGGGAGGAGACGTGCCTGAAAGATTAACTGCCATTCCTGGGTTGGCCACCCGCAGGCCCTTTCCCTAGTGACTTCAGAGTGACCAAAGGGTCACCTTGCAGGGAGCTAGACCTGGCCTTACACTGTTCAGGCCCCTTGGTGCTTGAGCAGTGGTCCCGGCATCGACCCCACCGGGGCCCAGGGACCTGCATCTAACGTGCCCGCTCCTCATGTGCAAGGCCTCAGCTTGGACACGCCGCCTCCCGCTAGAGGAGAAGGCCTCGGGGGTGGGACAAGCCCTGGTTTTTGCCCTGTCGTCCTCAGCCGGGCTTGTTGCCCGGCCCTGCGCGGCAACAAGCCTCTCCAGCAGGGCCTGCCTGCGCCTCCCGGAGGTGTGGCTCCGTCGCCAGCCCCGAGGGCAGGGCCTGACGCCCAGGAGGGGCCTGGCTCCGGACGAGCAGAGGCCCCTCGCGCTGGCATCACTGTCTGCAGCGTTCTCCCCAAAACCTGCTAACCTAGAGGCAACACGCTGTTCCGAGGCAGCTCGCTACACTGCTTTCTAAACGTGGTTTCAGAACAGGGCACAAGCGGAACCGCTGGCAGTAACATTCTGGAGAACAGAGAGAATCGGCCCCGGATGCGCTACAACGGCGTCTGGCTCTGATGCTCCTTCCTGAAAGCAACAGCAGGTAGAGCGGGAATAAGGAATTTCCCTGATTCTGCCCTCCCGCCGACAGCCGCAGCGCACGCGCAGGTGCGACCCCGCTATGTTCCCGCTGGGCGTTTTTTCCCTTAGAGAGCAAAAAATAAATATCCCTAGCCTCTGCAATGGCTTTGAAAATGAAGTGAAAGCTAGGTTATGTTCTGCAAGATATAAACCGTTACTGAAAGCTCAGACAGCCGCGTACGTTCTTGCCAAGACCTTATCTTGAGGGGGTCTTTTTAGGAGCTAAAAAAACGTTTAGGAAATCATAGTGGTTAAATAAACAATATCTTAGAACGCCAAATGCTTACTCTGAACAAGGTTCCAGGTTACTTCTAATATTCTGGAAGGTTCTTAGGTCTACTTGTCCTCTCAATTAACGTTTTATTGAACATGTGTACAGTGAATGCCTTTATAGATACAATTTTTATTTTTGGAATTAATTAAGGTGTTCTAAAGATTCATAGGGGGTAAGGAAAGGAAAGATGGGGCTGGAGAGGATACTCAAGTTTGTGCACAAAAGTAAATGCCTCGCTGCATTTTACTTTGGAATAATTTTTAATGCTCCACAAAAACCTGGACTTTGGCTAATTTGGATTATTTCTTAAACAATCTCTCAGTTTAATTTACTCTTGCAGCTTTACTACACTTTTCTCCAATGACTAGAAATATTTCTGTGCATCCCAAAATATACATGCTGATCATCTTTTAAAATTAGTAAGATGAAATGTCAATTTTATATTATTTGAATAACATTAATTCACATTTTGTATCCTTTTTATTTGAATTTTTAAATAAGATATAATTCCAAAACAGTAACACAAATCAATTACCATTGGGGACAGAAATAAGATGGAGGAACCATACTTAAGCAGAAAAGGAAGCCTGTTACGGATGAGTCTCTCTCTCCTTGGACGTGGATCCCTCGACTGTCTGAGGTGACGAGACCCCAGGCCTTCCCCTGCCTCCCCCTGTGCTCTCACTTAAGTAAACAAGCTGTTCAAAAAAGACACTTTTTCTAAGCCCTTTCCAGTTTTTAGTATGATTTCACAACCATTTTGTTCATGATCCCACTGGCAAAATGCTATTTTAACATATTCCAGGGGACAGTACAAATTATTTCACAGTACTGGAATATTCCAACCCATTTAAGCACTGCTTTGAATAAGTAGACAACTGCCTGAAGCAGAGAAGAGTGTAGTTCCAAGTTATGCACCATAATGAGATGTGAGCTGTAACCAGACTCAGTTAATCGGCACCTTTGCCAGCTGTCCCTTGTCCAGGAAGCACGGCATGGTAGTCTCGTTATCATAGCGCCCCTTTTAATAAAGCAGCTGCTTTCCATCTACACCCTGGATTGTCAGAAGTTCCGTTTCCAGATACAGAAGTTATAAGACACGGAGCAAGTGTTCCACGTGTGGGTTCTCTTCCTGCTCCCCACAGAGACTTTCTCTGTTCTTTCATTTCGTCTCTTCAGACCACCCTGGTGGCAGTGTCCAGGACTCTGAGCCTTTGGAAGCCATGGACCTCTCATGGCACCACGCCCAGGTAGCCTCCGGTGTTGCCTTCCCTCCAGTTGCCTGGAGAACAAGGCCTGCCCCAACCACTCACTAGGATGCTGCACACTGAGCTCACCCTTCAACTATCAACCTGGAGGACCAATCAGACTGTGACGATTCTGGGGGAGGCAAGCAGAACAGAGAATTAGGAGGCTGATGTGGGACTAGATTCATGCAAAAGCAACAACAGAAATTCAGCCCATGCTTAGGCCAAGAGCAGGCAGAACAGAGGTGCCCCACGGGGCCAACAGGTGGTGGCTGAAGGAGGGTGTGCAAGTCCCAGTGGGTGCTGGGAGAAGGGAGGATCAGGGCTGCTGCTGGGGGTGCTCCCAATAGAAGACTCTCTTGGTTACTTCTGCTGTGCAAACAGAGCACCTCTGTGGTGCTCTTCTCAAGTCAACGTGGATACTGGCACCCCCAAGGATGCCTTAGAATGTACTTGGCTCTGGGTAATGACTAGCTTCGTTTTCCCTGGGGCTCTCCCTGTGGTCCTGTTGCCCCATAGTCCCAATCTGTGCTCCATAGAGCAGCAGCAAAAAACATGAATATACAGTTCTCTCTCTCACACAGTCACAGACACGCACTCATACACACATCGCACACTCTGTGGTTAAGATGTTTGTAAAATGCCACATACTGTGAGAGTCATAAGGTACATTACTATGGAATCCTATTCAAGATTTCCACTAATCCCACAGCAAAGAACTTATTCATTTAGTTCAACTGCACCTTCCCCCATTCTTTTTCCCACAGAAACTTTTTTGGTGGAAATTTTCTCTTAGGCCAATTTTTGCTTTGTGGAGCACAGCCTGCGAAGTGCTCATGTGACAACAATGTCCCTCATCTATTGTGTAAACTGTAAGATAATCTCATGGTGTGGGTCTTAAACCAGATAGAACAAATGAAGACAGGCCGGGTGGTGGGGGGTTCCAGGAAACCAGGGGGGCCCTGCAGCAGCCTTTCCTTCGTGCCGTATCAGAGCCCAACACCACATTTGTGATTCAGCCCCAAAACCATCCTCCAGCTCCTTCATCCCCATAAACTAGCTCCGTTTTCACCCCCAAACCAATCTGCACACAAACCAACGGGCCTCAAATCTTTCCAGAAGAACTCACTTGCCCAGAAGTATTGATGAATGACGTGTAACTGGCCTAAGGTTTCACAGAGAAAGAGGATTTGCACGCTCCAATCAAACCCAATACCACAAACTCCCTGTGCCGGCATGAGGATGAGTCCTCTCTCCCCTTTTCCTAACCCCGAGCTGGCCTCTCTCGACATTTCTTTTCCTTTTTATGCAGAGCAGTTCACCTCTGCCCTAGCTTCTGTCCCCAAACGTATATGCTAAAACTTATCGAAGTGCTTAACAGATTAAGTCCGCTCTCATCATGCATCCCCACCCTTAGGAAACTATTTTGAGACCATCCTTTGTCCTTGAGCATGTCCTCGGGGGTCTTACCCTCAATTTGCTGAAATATTTCTTCCAAACAAATGAATGCTATCCCCAAGAGGGGTTATGGCTAATTAGACTGTCTCCACTGCACTGCATTAGCATCTGGAAGCGGCCTCCGCCAGGCCTCCAGGAAGCACATGCTCCAGTGCCTTGTACGCGGGGGGCTTAATTTTACTGAATAGGGCCTTCTCTTGGTTGTTCTGTACCTGTTCTCCCCTCCTTACAGAGTAAGAGAATTTTGAGTTGGGCGCATGGCCACCTACCTAAATGGCTACTTATCCAAACCCCCTAGGTTGCTAGATATCACCCTATGGCTGAGTTCTCATCAGGGAGATGTGAAGGGAAGCGATGCAAGGGACAGACTGTGTCCTTACAGGCAAGGGAGGCCCTTCTCCTTCTCCTTTTCTCCTGCCCCGTGTCTGTGAGAATGAGACATGCCGGTAAGACTGTAGCATCGTCTTGGATCCCCACATGGAAACTGTGTGTGAGGACAGTGGAACAATAAGATGAAAGACACCTGGGACCCTGGTGATTAGGTAAGTGCCAGCCCTGCCCTCTGTCTCCTATCCAGACTTATACAGAGGAGAGAAATAGCCTTCCATCCTCTCCAACCAGCTAGAATATGGGATCTCTCTGACAGCAGCTGACCAACTGACCTTTTTGTGTTCTTCTTGGTCCTCCAATTCCATTCAACTGACATTCTTTGATCACTTGCTCTATTCTAGGTGCTGTGCTAGGTGCTGGACCGTATGCTGACTATGACACAGTCCCTACCCGCAGGAGCTCACGGTCTGGTCACGAATAACCAGCCGTTTAAATGAAATGTAATAAAGACAGTGACAGAGCCATGGAGACCCAGCTCTGGGAACACAAGGAAAGAAACCCAGGAGGGCAGAGCTGAGCCTTAGAGCACAGGAGGCCTGAACCGCCTCTGCAAGGATAAGCGGGAATTGGTCAGATAAGGAAGTGTGAAGGCAAGCAGGGATCGCATCCTTGGGGAAAACGTGTAGCAGGAGCCAAGTCCTGGAGGAGTGAAGGAGAACGGGGTACCCAGGGAAGGGCAGGAAGGTTGGTGCTGCAGCCACAAGGAGACAGAGAAGCGAAGAGGCTGGGAGAGGTAGGCACAGCCAACCTGGGGCTGTGCACTGAAGCTTGCCTTTTATTCTGCAGGATTGGGGCTCAAGAAAGGTCCAACCCCTCAAATCTCCTCTACAAAATAAGCTGTCACCACCAAACCGTGAGACAATCCATGAGCAAAGGCCCTGGAAGCCCCATCCTCTCACATTAAAAATCAAGAAATTCTAGCCTTGGGAGAAAAATGTGGCCCAAGGTCACAAGCTAGGACGGAGCTAGGACTGGAGCCCCAAGCCCGCTCCCAGCACAGGCTCCTCCACTGCATTTGGCTGCCTGCTCCATTGTCAGCAAATCCCTGAGTGGGTACGCCTGAAAACTGCCCTACCAAGAACATTCTACTAATCTCACGTCTCAGTAGCACATGTTTCAGACGTTTCCACTGAAGCCTCATAAAGAAAGTTTTTTCTTCGCTCTTACTATTCTGAGATTGGTTCCAGAGCCCAGATCTACTCTAGGCCAACGAGTATTCGTATTGCTATTAACTGGGAATGCAATGCAGCTGCAGTGTAACGAAGATGAGCTCAAAGAGCATCCCGGAGACATCTCAGCAAGGAAAGAGGTGAGCAAGCACAGGGCAAACCTCCCTCTGGTTGATGCATTCATCAGAGGAGTATCTGGAAAAATGCAGAGGAAGACCTTTAAGTATTCGCATATCAAGGACCTATCGCTACGTATGAATCCACTCACTCCACAAATAACTAAGTGATCGTCTATTATGTGCCAGGCAGTGAGCTATGTTCCGTCAGAAGATGGGACAGAGGGAAAACCAGGATAAATCACACTTGGTCCATAGATATGAAGAGAAATTCACGGAGACATAACCCATCTTGGAAAAAACTAAACAGGCTACAGTGACTGGCATCGAACCTGCACAAATGAGTTTATTTGGAGTACAAGAGGTGCAAAAGGTGCAGGCACAGAGAAAACAGGTGAACAGTGATGGGGAGGCTATGGAATCACACCTGGAGGAGCCAGAGACCCGAGCCCTCCCGGACAGGTGCTCTCGGAAGAGAAGGGGCCTTGGGAGGTGAGTCGGAGCCGAAAACCACGTGTCCGCTCTCATTCACGGTTTACTATGTTTCCTGCATGAGAATGTTTTAATTTGCAAAGCACCATGCAAATGTCAGTTCTTTTTGCAATTTGGGGAATGTCATGGTATGTGTGGTTTAATTCCTTTAATATTCTTGCTTCCAAAAGAAAAAAGTTTCAGCATATCAGTCAGGCCTGTGATGAAAACTGTACTTTCCTGTTGTGTGCCCAGGGCTTAGGACAACCCTAGGGTTTCCTAACACAGGAGCCTGCCAGACACTGACCACTGGGGAGAGTACAGAAATCAGGCAAGTGCTTCCCAGGGAGGAGGGAGTTCTCCATTTGAATCAGCCTCAACTAGAAGTGGCTCCAAACAGAGAAGTCTGCCTGTCTTATTTACTTCTGTTACTCAAGCTCCTAAAGCTGTGCTGGGCACATAGTAGGTGTCAAGTAACTATAAGGTAAATGGATGGATGGAGGGATGCATGGATGGATGGATAGATGAATGGATGGAGGGATGCATGGATGGTTGGATGGATGGAGGGATAGATTCAGGGATGCATGGATGGATGGATGGATGGAGGGACGGATGGAGGGATGCATGGATGGATGGATAGGTGAATGGATGGAAGGATGGATGGAGGGATGGATGGAGGGATGCATGGATGGATGGATGGATGGAGGGACGGATGGAGGGACGGATGAATGGATGGATAGATGGATGGATGGAGGGATGGATGGAGGGATGCATGGATGGATGGATAGATAGATGGATGGAGGGATGGATGGAGGGATGCATGGATGGATGGATAGATGGATGGATGGAGGGATGGATGGAGGGATGCATGGATGGATGGATAGATAGATGGATGGAGGGATGGATGGAGGGATGGATGGATGGATGGATAGATGGATGGATAGAGGGATGGATGGAGGGATGCATGGATGGATGGATAGATGGATGGATGGAGGGATGCATGGATGGATGGATAGATAGATGGATGGATAGATGGATGGAGGGAGGGATGGATGGATGGTGGTGATGCTAGACTTCCTATCAAGCTGGCATTCTCACATGCCCATTTCACTATCTACATCATCTGACCTCCCAGCATATTAAACTTTGCAGTTTGGACTTCACTAGCACAAATTTAATATTTTAATTTTTCTCATCTGAAGAGACCAACCTAAGGAAAAGTTGTATCAATGGTGCATAAGCCTGAATATCCAGCCACATTTTGGGGGTGACTGATCTAAGTAGGCTAGAATGCCCTAAGCAGGATTTGTGTATTTTGTTGCAATATTATCACGTTTTCTATAAGGCTCCTATCAGCATTTTCACTTGTGGAAATATGCAACCTTTTTTTTTTTTTTAATATTAGAGAATAAAAGCTACAACCTACTTTCTTTTTCCAGAAGACTAGCAAACTTCCAGTTTTCAACCCCATGCTTTTCTGCAGCTAACAGATTTTGGAGCTTCTGACTCAGTGGCCACCTCCATCTTCGGTTTCCTGTCTTTGAGCACTGATCTTTACTGCACTTTCTGTTTTCCAAAGAGACTGGGAAAACAGGCATCTAATGCTCAGCAGGCAAGGAAGGCTGTGACTGAAGCCTGCCACATGCTCTTGACAGACCCTGAGAAGCTGGCTGGCTGGTGTCACAAGTGAGTCTTAAGTGCCAAGAAAGGGAGGTTCCCTCGCTGGCCCCTGACACCAGCAGTCAGCCTCCTGTGACCTGGGCCCAGATGACGAGAATGTTTGACTGGTGAGTCAAACTACCCATGGAAAGAAAACAATTCCTGTTTCTGTTCCATAAAATAGACTTTAACTAGAATTCCATCCTGCAAAATTCTTTGGGTTCAGAAACTGAAAGGTCCCCAGTTCAGTTTTCCTCTTGTTAAGGGGCATGTGATCTGGATTCAGAAGCCCTGTTCATCCCCAAACCTGTGATTCATCTGCTGTGTGGTTTTCCATCTGTCACTTACCTTCTCGGCACCTGACCTTCGTCAGCCAAATATGGAAGATTAATTGGCTTGCTGATGCGGTATGTATGTTTTGTATGTACAGATCCTTTGTGTCTATAAACTCTTCCCTTCCAGGCTCTTTTCCTCCTAAAGTTCTGATCCTCTAGAGGAGATTATATTGGGGAGTGGAAAAGAGGCAGAAATAGAGAGGAAAAGTGGGCAGACTCTCTGAGTGGGGAAGGGCGGGAACCCCACATGCCGTGCCACAGTGGGCCCTGGAGGTGGCAAGGCCTCAAAGGAGCATGCAGAAAAGTGCACCTAGGGAGGCAGAACCCCTAGCACTAGGGACACTGAGCCCACATATAGCACAAAAGCAACAGGACCACAGGCCTTCAAGGGACCAGGCAGAATGGGGCAGTGGGCATTTCAGCAGCAACTATGGAAGCCAAAGGAGGGAGAAAACTCCCCAAAAGTTTGACTCACATGAGACCCCTTGGAAAATTAGGAACTTCCCTTGAGCCCTAGAGGGAAACTCCTATAATAAATGAGGAAGAATTTCCAGTAACCTGTAGACTAGGGAATAAAGTGAAATCAAATATAATAGAAGAGGGACTGATTTAAAGAAAATAATGGAGTGGGCCATTTGATGAAAGCTACAGTAATTAAAACAGCATGGTACTGGCGTAAAAGCAGATGCATAGATCATTGGAACAGAATAGAGAACCCAGAAATAAACCCATGTATATATGGTCAATTAATGTACAATGAGGAGCCAAGAACATACAGTGGATAAAGGAAAGTCTCTTCAATAAATAGTGTTGGGAAAACTGAACAGCCACATGCAAAAGAATAAAACTGGACCCCGATCTTACCCGAAAATCAACTCAAAATAGATTAAAGACTTAAATGTAAGACCTGAAGCCATATAACTCCATGAAGAAAACGTAAGTGGTAAGCTCCTTGACATACATCTTGGTAATGAGTTTTTTGGATTTGACACCAAAAGCAAAGGCAACAAAAGCAAAAGGTCAACAAGTGGGGCTACATCAAACTAAAAGTTCTGTACAATAAAGGAAACCATCAACAAAATAAAAAGGCAACCCATAGAATGGGAGAAAATATTTGCAAACCACATATCTCATAAGGAATTAATATCCAAATTATATAAAGAACTCATACAGCTCAATAGCAAACGAACAAACAAATAGGCAGGGGAACTGAATAGACATTTTTCCAAAGAAGACGTACAGATAGACAACAGATACATGGAAAGGTGCTCCACATCACTAATCGTCAGGGACATGCAAATTAAAACCACAGTGAGATATCACCTCACACCTGTTAGAATGGCTGTCATCAAGAAGACAAGAGATAACAAGTGTGGGAGAGGATGTGGAGAAAGGGGAACCCTTGTACACTGTTGGTGGGCATGTAAATTAGTGCAGCCACCGCAGAAAACAGTATAGAGGTTCCTCAAAAGCTTACAAATAGAACTATCGTATGACACAGCAAGTCCACACCTGGGTATATATCCAAAGGAAATGAAAACAAAATATTGAAGAGAAATCTGCAGTCTCGTGTTCACTACAGCATTGTTCACAGGAGCCAAGATATGGAAACAAGCTAAGTGTCCACCAACAGGTGAGTGGATAAAGAGAATGTGAGATAAATATATACACACAGTGGAATACTGTTCAGTTATGAGAAAGAAGGAAATTCTTCCATTTGTGACAACAAATATTGCATGGTATTGCTTATATGTGGGATCTAAAAACTAAATAAAGTCAAACTCACGGAAAAACAGAGTAGAGAAGTGGCTGTCGGGGACAGAGAGTGAGGGAAATAGGGAGAGGATGGCGAAAGGATGGTGAAACTTTCAGCCGTAAGATGAGTGAGGTCTGAGGATCCAGTGTGTAACATGGTGACTACCGCTGACGACACTGTATTGTATAATTGAAATTTGCTGAGAGAGTCGAACTTAAATGTTCTCACCAAAGAAAAGAAAAAAAAGATAAATATGCGAAGTGACGGATGTGTTAATTACCTAGATGGGGGAACCCTTTCACAATGTATATGTGTATGAAATCATCACAAAGTACGAGAAAACAAAACAGAAACAACCGTGATGGAGGAGGGACTGATTCCAAGAAGACCATGGAGTGGGCCATTCTCTGGAGTGGGATTGTTTGTAGAGTAAGTCACACCTGCTGCGTGTAGCTGGCAAATCAACGCACAGCTCTCACGGGCCCATTGGGAGATTGTTGAAGTGGAAGTGAGCTGCAAAGCGTAAAATGGCATGAAAATATCTTCACCATTTGATGTGAATCCGCTTGACAGATGCAGGTTTCTAGTCTCCTGCACTCCGCAGTCTCTGTCACGGTGAGGAGGGCGTTATGCTTCCCAAGGACATAACCTTTCCCATTTCTCCTGGATGGTTTTAAGATGAAACACACGGAGTAGGAAAGTTTGAGGTTACTTGACATTTTGAGGTTAAATTGTCTCTACTCAAGGAAAAAAATTTCAAACAAAAATCAAAGGAAGTATTAAGGCTTTAATTCAAAGGAGCAAAAGCTTTCTGTTCTGCATTACAGGATTATGCTCTTAGAAAGCAAATTGGCTTCAGCCTGACGAGAATCACTGCCTGCCGGCCCAACTCACGACAGCGACCGAGCTAAGGGGCTGTGCTCGCCTTACAGCCAAACCTCTCCACGCGAAGAAACACCAACTGCATGCGGGAAATGAGAAACCAGATCCAAAAGGTTGGAAACACTTCTATTTGGGCAGGGGTTAAGGGAGCGGTTGGATGGTGTGTGTGTGTGTGTGTGTGTGTGTGTGTGTGTGTGTACACACTAATGTGTTATTTTGTAGATACAGTCTAGTTTTAGTTAAAAAAATATAGAGATCATCAGGAACTGTTTAGAGTTGGAAAACCCCTGCAATCTGGTGCCACGGGCTTTTCCAGGGGCCTTGGGGTCTGGCGCGGTCATGTGAAACCTGCGGCAGCCCCTCCCCCACAGACCTCCCACGCACAGGAC